GGTGGAGGTGGGGGCGCTATTATTTCAACACACACACACACACACACACAGACCAGGTCCCAGACTGGAGGTCTCCATGTTACAGTCGTATGTAACTGTAACACCGACAGAACTGAAGGCCGTTCTCATGACTGAAAAAATGCAGCTCTAAACTATCACAGAGCCTCACACTCATTTAGGTTCCTGTTCCCGGGAGAAGCCAAGAAATCAGAGGCCACTCTTTTCTGCTCAGGCTTTGATGTGCGATTTTTAATCTTCTCGTCCAACCAATCGTTGTTGACTGAATTTATACCATTCACAATCCTCAGCCAAAACCCTTAAAGTTTAGACTTTAATTTACATTATAACGATGTCTGTCAAACTGACTACTCTTTGACATTTCCACTTTTTAAATTGGTTATTTAAAATAGATTTAATGGTCAAACGTTGTCACAAACAAAACGTACGGACATTTATTTATTAACTTCTCATTTGTGTGGAGGACACGGAGACGGACACAGAGGGAAACGGATCAGATCCTCAGGTTTGTGACTCAGTCTGGATCAGACTGAACATCAAGACGAGTCGTTTCATAAACATCAGCGCTAACACACTCACGCTGACTGACATCACAGCTCCATCAGAACATCTAAATCTAATCCACTGGTTTGTGTCCGTCTCTGTGGACCCCAGGCACACACACACACACACACACACACACACACACACACAAACAAACACACACACACAAACAAACACACACACACAAACAAACACACACACACAAACAAACACACACACACGTGTCCCAGATGTTTGAAACCCTAAAGGCTTTTTTTTTACTGGTCGGATGGCGGTGGATGTGCGTCACCTAAAGGCTTCCCTGGAGCAGAGACCTGGCCTCAAAAGAAGACTCTGTTTCTTTAACAACAAAACAGAAAAAAAAAAGATTTTATTCTTGACTGAATAAAAGTACGTTTTAATAAACTTCAGTTCAGTTTTGGGAGTGAACTCGTAGCTCAGTAAACTCCGTCTCTGTCCAGTTTCACTTCATTAAGGAGGGACACTCGGCTCTGAGCTCCACTTCTGTCTGTCCACAAACAAGTCCAGCTCCGAGGACGGATACACACACAGAAGCCGGCGTTTCTTAACCATCATCAGACGGCGTCGTCTGCCAAGTCCGGCCTCATCATCAACTCGTCCGTTAGAACAAAACTCCCAGAACCGCCACAAGACAAGAGGAACACGGAGGCGGCGTTTCTGGACTGACGACGACGACTGTTGCCGACAACCGACTCCTACGAACTGCGAGTGTAACAGTTTAGAGCAACAGTCCTCAGGAAACACGGTCTCTGCTCCAACAACGTAACAGCGTCACACGTTAACATGAGTTCACGTCACGTCAACTCACGTGTACGTGTGATTTACAGCAGCTCTGTGCCACCGCAGCAGGGCTAACGCTCACGGCACAGAGAAGTCAACGTCCGGTGTATTCAATGGAAGCTCATTGGCTGAGCTGGTCGGTCACTGGGATCTAACGATGAATCGTGAGTTGATTTTTTTTTTTTTAATTACACGACAATTCGCATCAGTTTATAAAAAACTCACTGGTCATACTAATGAGATGACATGCTCCAGTCCAGTAGGTGGCAGTATGTTGGTTGTCAGCTTCCCCTACTAGCCTAAGTGACATTCAGGTGTTCAAACAGAACGTGGGAAAAACTTCTTCCCCAAACACAGCGTTTCCCAATCTTTTTCTCCGAGGACCCGTATTTTATAAAAGTCACAAATGTTCGCGACCCAAGTCAACAGACTTAGATTATTCGTAAACTCCTGGGAAACATGATGCGAGACGACCCAGAAAAAAAAACCCACCTGAGGGTCGCGACCCAGTCTTTGGGAAACAATGTTTTCTTGGAACTCTTTTTTCCGTGACTGTTTTTTCGGTGTTTTTCCTTTGTTGTTTTGTGTCCTGACAGTTAGCCAGACTTAACCAGACCAGTTTGACTCTGCGTCGTTACATCCGCAGCAGTCGTCGTTCACAGCGTGCTGTGCCGCAGCAAAGACCATTAGGAAACTAAGACCCCGGCTCATCTCGCGCTGCAGAATCATCCGGTACGCAGTCCTTGTGGGCCACATTGTCGGAGCGTTAGTGCAGTTTGTCTGATTCTGACATTCATCCGGATTTGTGCACAGTTTCTGAAGCTCTTGGACACAAAACAAACTCGGGCAGATTACAGAAAGAAAGAGAGGCGTGTTATTGTTGGTGAAGGAGAATCAGTCTGATCCTAATTCATCCAGAAAATTAGGTTTCAACATGGACCTCGGACAAGAAGTCTAAAACAAAGTGGGACCAACAGAGAGTTCTCTGAGCAGAGACTGAAGGGAAATCCACAGTAAACAGATACGAGGGCGTCTGTGCAGTGATACTGTACGTCTGCTGCAGGTAGAGTGTTCCGTGATACTCTTGTTCTGATACCATTATCTCTGGTATCAGAACCAAAAACTGCCATTTTGCGTATTTTAATCTTCTTCTACGTTTGTGGCCACACATTTATGCTGAGGCTTCTACCGTCTGACCACAAGCAGCCATTTCTGAAACATAACAATCACAACAAACATGTCAACAAAAAAAAGTGGTTCTGCACCAACTGAGCAGCGAGAACGCAGCCCACAGGATGACTCAGCCCAAAACACTGCTGCTGATGCTGCTGCTGTTAGTGCTGCTGCTGTTACTGCTGCTGCTGTTGCTGCTGCTGTTACTGCTGCTGTTACTGCTGTTACTGTTACTGCTGTTACTGCTGCTGCTGCTGCTGCTGCTGTTACTGTTACTGCTGTTACTGTTACTGCTGTTACTGTTACTGCTGTTACTGCTGCTGTTACTGCTGCTGTTACTGCTGCTGTTACTGCTGTTACTGTTACTGCTGCTGCTGCTGTTGCTGTTACTGTTACTGCTACTGCTGCTGCTGTTACTGTTACTGCTGCTGTTACTGCTGCTGTTACTGCTGCTGTTACTGCTGCTGCTGATGCTGCTGTTACTGTTACTGCTGCTGCTGTTACTGCTGCTGTTACTGCTGTTACTGTTACTGCTGTTACTGCTGCTGCTGCTGCTGCTGCTGCTGTTACTGCTGCTGTTGCTGCTGCTGCTGCTGTTACTGCTGCTGTTGCTGCTGCTGCTGCTGTTACTGCTGCTGCTGTTACTGTTACTGCTGTTACTGTTACTGCTGTTACTGTTACTGCTGCTGCTGCTGCTGTTGCTGCTGCTGCTGTTACTGCTGCTGCTGTTACTGCTGCTGCTGCTGTGGCTTTTTATTAGCATTTTTATTCAACTCTGCTCCTGGTGATACAGCGTTTACTGTGTCTTATTGTCTTTATCTCCAGATATGACAACACAACAGCTGAAGTTTCAAAATATATTCAGATCTAAATGGTCACAATTCCTAAAGAACACAGTATTTTGCCCAGAAACACTGAAAAAAAAAATCACAACCACAGTTTATGGCTTGAAACGTCAAACTTTCCTACAAACTCTACTCTCTGCCGCGGCCCCAGGGATGGCCCGCCAACCCCACTTTGAGACTCTCTGCCCTTATTTTATCAGCCGTAAATTTTAAACTTCAGATTGAGGAAGTGGTCAGAACACTCACACGCTACCAGATATAATCTGTCACTTTCAGCTGCAGCTGTAGCACATTTGAAAATAAGAAGTATAAATGTGCCCACAGAAGCAGAAGTGACATCGTACTGTAGTCGAGTACTCGAGTACTCAAGTTTTATTAGGATTTTTTAAACTACTGCCAACTACCATGAGTAAAAGATGTCCAGGTTTCTGCAGGTGCAGAACTGACGAGGATTAAAGATAGATTTTAGCCTGAGTTCATAATTAAAAGAACAGCGACGACACGTTGCGTAACGCTGTCTTCATAACAAAAGTACTTTTGGTTTTTGTTTCTTGACAGACACAGTAATCACATCAATCTTTCTAAAAACCTCAGCCTCCCTGACCTGCTAATGCTAACATGACTAACGGAAAACACAAACCACATGATCTCCGTGTTTTAACCTAGTTATTTAGTGACGGCCCCTTTGAATCAGGGGTCACTGACCTTTCTGAAACTGAGAGCTACTTCAAAGGTACTCAGTAATACCAAGAACGTCTTGTTTGATACAGACTTCCTGAACAATGTAATAATCATCTGATCTGGGACAGACAGTAACAGACTGTGAGTGGAACTGATTCAGAAAGCACTGGAGAAACAAAGGGTTTAAACCAACGAGCAGCACATTTCTGGTGCGCAGGCGTAGAGGCGTTAGTAGGAAACAGGTTAGTAATAAACCTCCTTGGCTCCAAATCTGTTCAGTTTTGATGCTGTATTTGTCTGTCTGCAAGAAACTTGTTCTTGTTCATCGTCAACAAACCAATTAGCCTCTGATCATAGAACTGTATTTGTCTGTCCACAAGAAACTTTGTTCTTGTTCGTCGTCAACAAACCAATTAGCCTCTGATCAGATTAAAGTCATTTGGTCACATTTCACTGTCAAGGATTTAAAAAAAAAATAAAAAAAGCCAACACTGTTACAGAAATACACACACATTTCACGCTGCTATAAAAAAAACACAGTCACAACATTGGACTGTAACAAAAATGGCTGATGAAAAAAAACAAAAAAAACCAAACAGTTCCAGTCCCTGTCAGAGCATCTCTGTTCTGATGCCCCCCCCTCCTCCTCCACCCCCCCCCTTCTTCATCGTGACCATATATTTAACTCTATCATACAACATTAGCTGTGTGTAAGACGGGGGGGGGGGGGGGGGCGATGTTTGAGCAGAGACCACTGATCAGGGAGGAGGTCAGGGGTACTGCAGGGTCAACAACACAGTTTTCTTTATTAAGAAAAAAAAACCCTGTGGTCAAAGAGCTCCGAGGCATCAGAGAGTGTGTGTGTGTGTGTGTGTGTGTGTGTGTGAGAGAGAGAGAGAGAGAGAGAAAACCACAGATTAAAGATCTGGCCAAACTTACTTCATCTGTTTGACGATGGTGCTCTTCCCTGACTCTCCGGCCCCTGAGGAGAGGAGACAAGAGGAGGACAAGGTGAACAGGCCGTGTGTGTGTGTGTGTGTGGGCAAGATGGAGATGAAGGAGAGAGAGAGACAGAGAGAGAGAGAGACAGAGGGAGAAGCAGCGTCCAAAAAAATAAGAACAGCAGCGACAGTGGAGTAAAGATAGAAAAAAAAATGGAGAAAGTTGCTG